TTTTGCCTACGAAAATATCGAGTTTATTTTTCAGATAAGTTCTACTTGTCGTCACAAAACTTGAAGAACAAACATCTGAACAATCGCCGAACTACGATTTCTGATTTTCTACAAAATGTATGGATTTGTCTAAGCTTTTGTTCATCATGATCGACGCTAAAGATTAGATATTCGGCACATATGATAAGAGAGTTTCGTGCTCTCTGCTTTCATGACCCTTTTCAAGATTTCTGATACTATTGTTGAGAAGAAAAGCTTTTAGCAGTAAGTCTTACTGGTATTTGTAGACAAATTTTGGAAAATCATGTTTTCCGAAGCAATTCTTGGCCTACAATATGTTTATGCTTATGCAGTGAAGTTTAGGATTCGCTTTTGAACAGAATAATGTGATTGCCAAATTGAAGAGATAAAACACGAAACTGTGTTGTTTTCTAAATAATTTTTCTTCTAAACTTCTGAAGCAAATATTAAAAGTTGCAGAATTTCCTGAAGACGCTTGTGGCATATTTGAGAATTCAACGGTATATCTATATAAAAATGTTCATCGGCTTTTCATGTTCTTTGACTACCACATTAAGACGATTCAGCAGGTGTCAATGTTAAAAATTTTGCGCTGACAAGACAAAGTTATTTGTAAGATAGACTTGACCATCTTGTAGAGCGAAAAATTAGCTATCTATTTAGAATCAAATGAGTGCTTAACATCTTTAGAAAGGCAATAAAAAGATAGAAAAAATAACACTCGCTTTATTTGACGCACCCGTAATATTTCAATCAACATGAACTTGAGTGATAGTTTTTCACTACTACCTATTTCAAAAAAGGAGGCAGAGCAAATTGAGCGATATATCTTGAGAACACAAAGAGATGTCGAAATCGGGTTTTCTCTGTCATACGACCAAGACCTGAGTACATAACTTTATCTAAACAACGAAGTTCTCAGGAAGGTTTCTAATGATTTTCTAGAGAGATCGATGGAGAACTGGTTTATCAATCAGGAAAGTTCGAGTAAATTGTTGATCGAAATAAACTTATTCAATAGTCAACGGTCGGCTCTACGAAGAGCGATAAGTCTCGTTTTTCTTTCATTCTCCCCTTAGACCGTCAAACATCATGAATTGGGATGTCCGGAAGTTATGCTTTTTCAATCTGTTGAACTTCGATTCATACGGAAGTATATGTTAGCTTTCATGCTGAACGCGATGAAAGTGCTTATTTTATTCTTTTAACTGTTATACAATCCCTAAAGAAAGGTTAGCTCAACAGGTGGTTTTCGATCTCACTATCCAGCAATCAAACGACCAATAGTAATTCAAGCATGAGTCGATGCAACTCAAAATTTTAGTAAACATCATGTACGGGCATTTCTTTAGAATCACAACACTAGAAAAAGAATCAGTTACGTTCAAAGATTGATGATTTTCAGGAGACATCGTCGAAATCTATGTGGTTCTAGTAAGAGAAGTCAATGTTTTATATTTCCATTAGTCTGAGAGACGTTTGCCAAGTCTTTACTGAAACTGAATGAGTATTAGTAGTGTGATTGCTAGAGAGACGTGATCGAAAATTGCACGCTCAGCTAACCTTTATCTAGTGAGTTTGTACCAGTTCAAAGTAGAAAATAAACATTTTCATCATACTTATCATGATGGCTAACATGTTTGTATATGAAACAACAGGCTGAACTATCATCATATCCGGAGTTCCTAGTTAATGAGATCTGGCACCCAAATAAAAAAATGAAAAAAACTGGAATTTGCATATGTTTATAGAACAAACCTTTGGCTATTGAATAGCGTTATTTCGATCGAAAATTTACTCGAGCTTTCTTGATAGGCAAGCTGGTTTTCTAATAAACTCTTTAGAAAACCACAGATAAATTTCTTGAGAACTTTGTTTCTTACATACAGTTACCAGTCCAGTATTTGGTCATATGAAAGAGAAAAGATGATTGTCGATATCTCTTTTTGCTCTTGAGATATATCACTTAAATTTTGATGCCTTCTATTTTGGGAGAGCTAGTAGAACGTGTATACAGGCATTCCTTTTATCTGACAGAAACAATTAAAAGCAAAAGACTTACCATAATAGCCAATACAGAAAACAGCAGCCACAGCATAAAGCGAGCAGTAGGCCCAACAATGATAAGCCCAAAATCAGTAGCCAATTGAAGCCGCTTCCTACTGAAATACAACCATTTAACTAACCAAGTAAGTCTGAACTACGGTTCGAGTATTCATCATGAAACCATCCAGTTCTCTTCGTATCGAAAAGCTCAAAGGGTAGATCGTTTGTATGCACCTGGATTTGAAATTTGCCTCTATTGTTTAAAGAGGAGGCCTCTTATACCGATAGAGATTCAATCCATAGAGTTTCAGAGGCTTTCTCACGAGGACTACCCGCACTTACACTCAGCGACCCTTCTCAAACATAACTCTGCTGATAACGTATTTAAACGGAAGAGGAAGCGTTGACAAACTTTGTATATGTATATTTAGACATTAGCAGAGGCTTTCAAGAGTTATTTAGCATTCAGTTCTATTTTCAAAATTTATTATATTTGTTCTTATGAGAAAAATAAATTAGTAAAATCAGTGTGTCGAAAGCAGATGTAGTTATTATACCACACTATGTAACCTATCAAAAGCTTTCATATAAAGTCAATCATGAAACGAATAGATGTTACCTGGACCGCGTGTCGTCGTTGCGGTCGTTCTAAAAGCAACAGAAAATGAGAATTTTCAATTTAGCTTAGAATAAGAATTAATATTAAAATGAAAACAAATATCAATTATCTATCATTCGTATGGAAGATCAAAGTTTGAGAACTTCGACGATAGAAATCAGCACAACAGAATTCATTTTAAGGATGATCCTCTTCGCAAATTACTTCAATGAATAAAGATGAGTATCTGTTTCAATTCAGAAAATTTATTAATTTATATTCAACGCTAACTTTGGTTCATTTACATACTGACAGCTAATAGATAAAGCAAACTATCGTTCCTCTGTATAATCGCATATACTTTCCTGCACAAAATTTGTTAAGTATGCTTTTGTATACGTACGAATTTTGAGAGTTTCACTACATGGGTAAATATGCTCCTTGTTGTTTCACTGAATCTATTTAAACCAAGGAAAAAATATCTTATTTTAATCAACTCTCCATCTTCTACACAACATAGCTGAATATAATTTCACAACCAGTGAAATTGTTTTGAAATCACATCAAATCAATCAAATTCATTGATTCTGAGTGGTTGATTGGATTTCTTTGGAGTAGCTCAAAAATTTGTGACAAGCAGCAATTCGTTTTTTTCATCATCTGAACAGATTTCAATTAATATTGATGATTTTGCAACGATTGCGAGTGTTTTATTTGTTTGATATCATTGTGCTCTTTTCCTTTCTTGCTTTTCGCTCATGTTTTCAGTAATTTTGAATTTTTTAATGACTAGGAAAAACCAGCCAAACCTCTTAAAAGCGAGCAAATGCACACAATTGTAAAATTTAACAACAATGATTTTTAGTTGAGTTAGATATTTCAGGTCCACTAATTTCGAAATGAAACAATATTAAACATATGGAAACTACGTTCGAAATACTTCTCAACTAACAAGGCAGCATATCCAACTGTCAGACGCCGTTCAGTTTCATATTTTGGTTATGAGCTCGCCTCAGGGACGCTAAGCAAACCTTAAAAGAGTTCGTGCCATGAAATGCCTGAACGGAGATTTCAATGCCACACAGATGTAAGAAAATGGGATTTTTTTAAAACTTTTTCCTAGACCTTTTTCTTTACTACGAGAAGATGAGAACTGAAATGTTGAACATACAATTTTCATGTCATACTACGAGGTTGGCTCATACTCAGTCAAAAAACAAGAGTGTCGACGTATCTGCTTCTTACCGTCACCTAAACATAACATTTCATTTTCTTACACCTATCTACAATAGCTATGAAATATTTTTCTAGACATATCATGGGCACCAACTTTTTTCGAATATTCTTAGTTTCACTGAGCTCTTTTTATAGCCAAAAGGTGGAATCGAACGGCCTCCAACAATTGGATATGTTTCCTTGCGAGCCTTTGTGTATAGATAAGTCTCATAGCAATTAAATTTTAGTTTAACTGAATGCATTCTTGAGATATTATTGGTGCAAGACGAACTTATTCGGTAGCCTTTTGATATGTTATCATTTTTGCACAGTCAATATCTCAAGAAGAATACGTTCATTTCAGCTATAGTTTCTATACCGATCTAATCGCTCAGAGAGGTCTCTACAGAAGAACTCTCAGATGAAAATATTGTAGCTCCGTTTTCCAAGAATATATTATCCAAAAGCAAAACGTCCCATACAGTGACCATCACTATGACTGGTGAGAGAGTATGTTTGCTAGTTTTATGGGCCTACAATTTATCTAACGCGCCTTTTTTACCAGCTGTGCGCTCGATAATGCTTCGGACAGTAAGAGAGGCAGCGAGAAGATAACTCCATCTTTCATGACTTCTATGTGGCTGACAGTCTTTAAGAGTTATGGGAATCTATTTAACTTTCTCCTTTGATTTATTATATAGAAATATTGGGTTTGCCATCTAGAACCTCTAACAATAAGGGGAATTTCTGCAAGCACGATCGCTGTACGTTCGAGGCTCCCAATCGAAAGTAAGGCAAATACCATTGACTCTGAAAAAAAGAAAGCCACATGTGACAGAAATATTGCATATCCTATATATTTAAACAAAGATGAATCTGCTAATATCCAAAGAGGATAGTCTATAATGTCAGCATTGATCTTAGATGATTTCCTACTCTATTCCTAGCTTTTGTAAAAGTTTGCATTTGACAAACAATATTATGTGAAAAAAAAGGCCCCAATTGCTATGTTTACGTTAGAAGTTCTTTCTTCGGAGAAAGTAAAAAATCGATCAATGACCTATCAGGGTAAATGGGAGGGATGTTTGTTCTTTCTCCAGATAAACACAACGTCAGTAACTCACGTTGTAGCGCTCGTAGTTGTTGTTGATGTTGAGCTTGTGGATGTTGTTGAAGTTGTTGTCGTGGACGTTGTTGTAGTTGTAGTTGTGGATGTTGTTGTAGTTGTAGTTGTGGTTGTTGTTGTAGTCGTACCCGTAGTTGTTGTTGTAGTTGTAGTTGTGGTTGTTGTTGTGGTTGTATCCGTAGTTGTTGTGGTAGTTGTAGTTGTGGTTGTTGTTGTGGTTGTATCCGTGGTTGTTGTGGTAGTTGTAGTTGTGGTTGTTGTGGTAGTTGTATCCGTAGTTGTTGTGGTAGTTGTAGTTGTGGTTGTTGTTGAGGTCGTGGAAGTTGAAGTTGACGTCGAAGTTGATGTAGTTGAAGTAGTCGAAGTGGTTGTAGTTGTGGTTTTTGTTGTTGTTGTTGTTGTTGTTGTGGAGGTGGTCGTGGTAGTTGTTGCTGTCGTAGTGGTGGCAGTCGATGTTGTAGTCGTTGTGGTTGTTGTTGTTATGCAATCTGCAGCTGACGTTACTACAGTAAATGTGGCACAATACTGCGCAGATTGTACTTGCTCACTAAATGGAAGAAAATGACTCTGTAATAGTCAACGATGAAGTGAATGAATGCTTACTCGGTAAAGGCAATCGTACATAGTGTCTGAGATCCAAGCTGACTTAATTGTGGTGTCCAAGTGAATATGACATACAGTAGAGAATCATTAGTCGACGAATATGTCAGATTTCCAGCTTGCATGCCAGTAATTCCATTGGTCACGATGAGATCACTAATATCAGTTACGTTAGGATCACATTGATTCACTATGGATATATTAAAAGTTTTCATAGTGCCCACTTTCACTTCCAAACAACCTTTGAGAGGAGTAATGACGGGTTGTCTTGAACATGTTGGTTCTGGCATGACATAAATCAAAAACTGTACTGGTACAGAACTCATTGCAGTAGTACTTGTTGAGTTAATGAAGTCTTCAACCTGTAGAAAAGAAGACACTTGATCACCGGTTTGAATAAAGGATTTTTGAAAAATAACAAAAATGTTTCCTTAACCGAAAAATTCGACAATAGATTTCATTATTATACAGTAGAATTTAGGAAACAGATATGCGCGAAAAATTCCTTGCTTAGTAAGGAATGCTTCTTGTAGTAAAAATCTAACGGATAGTGTATAAAGGATGAGTCTGGGAGGATTTTCGACTTATCTTGGTTGTGTTTTGATGGATATGGATCAGTCGTTTTTTAAAAGGTGTACCGTTTGAGTTTTTACAAAAATCATCTCAAAGAGCTCTCGAAAAAATAACTGAGAAATCATACCTACTCAGTATTATGATAGCCCCACACGTCCACTTTCACGACATTGTTTTTTTGATTTCGCAGAAAAAAATACTATAGAGTTTGGTTTATCGCTCCAGGAAAGCCCTATCAGTTTAGTGAATCCTTTTCTAGTATAACGTTTAATATAACCGAAACAAGCGTGTTGGTTATTCTTCCTTAGTCGAATTTGATCAACGTTTCATTAATGTTCATCCAACTTTCGATTGAATTTTGTGAAATATGAATTAATACATATTCAGATTTACTAACAAAATTGAAGTAAAAATGTCTTCTTTATAATTTTGACACGAGTGAAGTGTGGTACCACTCTTTGTTTGTAAGGCATGACGTAATTAAGGAGCATGATCACTGTTTTACACTCGTTTTCTTCAAGATCATATAGACTATTCAATCTTATTAACTTATTTGCAAGTCTTTTGCTGAACTCCGTTAGAGAGAAGAGATGTCAAAACGTGGAAAACTTGCTTTGAAATTGTCTGGGATCTACTTATACAGAAGAAGAGAAATAACCCGTTGTATAAAAATTCGTCATTTGAAAGTAGAACATGTTGGATTATCATAACACTGAAAGGACATGACTTACCATATTTTATCGAAGAACTCTTTGATATGATTTTTGTAGAAAATCGAACGGTGCATACTTAAAAAAAAATATTTTTCCGGATCCATCGAAACGCAATCAAGTTAAGTTGAAAATACTGAGAGGTCCATTCTTTCTGAGCCAATAGTTACTTTGTTGTGGAAAATATGTGTGAAATTTAGCAGCGTAACTACGTAGGATTTGAGACTGGAATTGGCTCAGGACCTGGACGTTTGTAAAGATCGATAAATGAAATGGTATAAACTGACTACCATTTTGAACACAAAGAACTATACATGGCCCATTTGAACTTGAAAAGACAGTTTGAAACTAAGATCTCAGCATTTTAAAACTTCTAAGAATCGCGTTCTGACAATCTGCACTTTCGATCAGAAAATTGAAACTTTACAAGTTCCATGATCACAAGCCAATATAATATTGCTTTATGATTCAGGTTTCAACAATTGACTAAGAGAATTCGGATGATGCTGGGAAAAATCGAAAATTTGGTAAACCATAATTCAACTTCACGTATGTGAGTAGTACACTCATTCAATTTAAAATTATCCTTCAATGCAACTTTTTATCTTAAACTGAGCTTGAAAAAAATTCATTAATATCCGCGAAACTTTTTATTGATAATATGAAAAGGGTGGGCAATCAATCTGGCACCGCTGTATAATGTCATAAAGACTACATGACGCACTCAAATATTTGTTTATTCTGGTCAGGCCAATATCGAAAACTTATCAGCTCGTTTTGTGGAATTTGTTCCCTAGACTGAAAGACTAGAGTCTGTAAAAGATAATTAAATCATTTTGTTCATATGTCTGTCTACCTAAAACACGGTTTTATTAAGCTATGCTCTCTCTTTCCTATTACCTTTGGTTTATTTTGATTTTGATTGACTTTACAAATTCGAAATTTTGAGAAACACTATTCAAAAATTAGTACTGAACTACATAGAGAAAAACTTGGACCACTTCTTCATCCAGAAGCTGGCAGAAAAAGCGACACACTACTATGGACTTTCAAACCATAGAATCTCGAATGTTTGGCCCATTAAGATTTAGGATTTAGGATTGCAATATTGTGAATTTAACAATCACTGAGTATTGAATTCTTAGGATACATCTATAGAAACTTCCGCATCGCAGTGTAATAAATTTTAGGACCGGGACGTCATGATTTTAACTCTAATATTACGAATTTTCCAATTTCAGAATTCTGAATTATTACGCAACATGAATGTTAAGCAGTCTCTAAGTGTACAACAAGAAACTTGGATCAGTTCGCCTCGTCTGATTTCCCACAGGTCCCGACATAAAAGTTTGAGTGTTATTCTGGACTTATGCATCGTTAGTTTTTGACATTTGGGATCATGGTGTCGTTCGTTTTATAAGCATTATTGTTTGAATTTCAAAAGCATTTTTTTATATAGTTTAGGAGGATGTGGGTCTGGGTCTGAGACAAAACAAGACACTCCAATCTTTATTCATGCTTACATTCACTCACAATATTCAAAAATGTTGGAAAAAGAGCCTTGGGATATAAACCTAGTCAAAGTTCGGTACATCGGACAGAATTCTGGCAACTGAGCTCGGCCCACTGCGAAAACACGGGCTATATCACCATGATAGAAGTGTATCAGATGCTCTATTTTTGGAGACGATTGGCTAAAGAAACATCGTGAATAGTTTGATAAAACTTCATGAAATAGAAACATAACATTATGTTATTTCAACTGTCGAATGAGCTTTGAGCTTGTACAATTTTCTGACGATGTAAACGACCTAACAATTGTTTGGTGGAATCTGTTAGAAACCGCTAATGATTGAATTATGAGGAGACAATCTATTCTGCATTAAACTATCACTAGTTCAACGTAGTCTAGACAAGCAAAATGAGGCGCTAGAAATAGAAAAGAAACAGGACTGATGGTATTACATCTTTATTTACCTGGATAGCAACTGCATACCATCTGTCCGGAACAAGTCCCTTAAACGATAAGGTGCAATTGGATAAAGTTGTACCACTAGGTACGCTGCTTGGATAACAAATACCACCACATTCATCAATCGGTTGATGATTGGCGTACGATGAAGTTGGTGGTACAGTTCCTGGAGTTTCGACTGTAGTTGTAACTCGTGGGCAATAGGATCCTGGTGCCTTGCAACTAGTGCCACTGCAAGTAGTATCTGTGCAAGACGAGCAGCGACATGGGCACTTATCTTTGCATGTGCTAGAACAATAACTAGTAGTACATGGATCTGTTTTGCGTTTTTTTCTTATATGAACAATTTCTCTATCTGCAGGCAGTTTCTTATACACGTTGATAGTCAGTGCATTGTAGAACCCTTCGTGTACATGCTCTTGTCTTCGTTTCCGATTTCCGGCTGTATACACAGACCATCGACAACGAATATCATCGCCTGCATTAACATCCGATACAGGTATTTGAATCTGAGTTGTTTGATTGACAACCGCGTATTGCGGAGAAACGACAGTTGCTTCAGGTGGGGTATTAATAAAACCATCAGATCGCATTCGAAGGTCGATGAATGTTACAATAGACCAGTATAGACCGCCTACTGGGGGATCGTTGAGCGCTGTCCATGAACTTCCTTGAAACGATAAGTAAAAGTGTGCGCCGGATGTGAGTGACATATTCACTGATCGTGTACTAGACATCATACCTAGCGATGAACTAGCTGAAACGCAGTCAGTTAAAATATTTACTGGCTTAGTGGCATAGCCGCCATCGGTCGAACAGCTAGAAATACATGTCAGATTAGTGTTCGCTCCGCTGCGACCACTAGTTGAAATGGGTACGTTGCTTGCACAGGTTATCGTCGGATAAGTCCATGAATAGGATTGAATGATGGCAATTGGTACTGAACTTGAATTGACGTAGGGATTCATAGGTTGCCATCTAATAGTACCACCGTTGAAATGAACTCCATCAGCAACAATAAGATAAAGTAAGAAGTGTAGGAGCACAATGAGCATTCAGCCAATATTTCGCCTGGTAAATGAAAATGTAAAAATGTACTCTGAAGTTTGCAATTTCAATAGGCATTTTCCAAAAACCGTTGAACTTCCAACAAAAAAAAGGAATAATAAAACCACCTGATCTTTCTAGCGAGAAATACTGATCAAATGTGAGACGTTCATCTAGCAGATATTTTGTCCATATGTAGAAGCCTATTAGTGTACTCACATGCGCAGTTCACCATAAGTTATTAGCGTTTTAGTGAACTTTTTCGCAGACAGCACAATATTTATGAAAAAAAGAACTATGGAATCTGGATCGAAAACTGCGCCGAAAAGGATGCATTCTTTGTCAGATGTCGAACGCTAAAGATCGTCGATTTTCTGATCTTTCTCTTTGAGCATGAACATTTTTTGGGGTATTTAAAATGTCGGGAGCGCATCTTTTTGAGCTAAAATTCTTAAGGTATTCTTATGACTACGTAAACTACATACCGCTGAGGGTCTGGAATAAAGGTGTCCGATTCTGATCTGGGACGCTGATGTGTGCATGGTTATGGATGGGTGCGAATGGATGTGAGTATGTTGCTGTGATGGAGTATGCAGCTGAGAGTATAGATTTTGAGTCTTGGATCTAGGTGCCAGTATGGGTTTGTGTGTGATCGTTCTCCGTTCACCCACACCCACACCCTGCACTCGCACCAACGCTTCATTTTTTATTCGTGCAGAAACCTTTTTACGATATGAGACGCTAAAAAAATGAAATGAAAATGTCTTAGTTTTTGCAATCTAATGACGCTAACGAAGGAACTTCCTTAAGTTTAGCTTTGCTTTTAACATGACATTTGGTCCTTATGTATACCTTAGTGAGATTAGTATAACTGCTAAAGTGTTTGGGTTTTGTGTTATTTCCTCCTTGATGTGTGACTAACTAACTGATTTTTTATTTTGTGCATAGCCAGCTCACTTAAAATCAAGTAGCATAATCTCAAGATTAAATCTTTTTTCAGATAGGCCACGTGGTTGTTAGATTATTGTGAAGTTTACAGCAGCAACAAATGTTTTCTTACTGAGATATTGAATTTAAAATTGACGCTTATGTATATCCAAATGGTTGAAAAACGAGATCACTTGACAGTTCAATATTTCAACAACAGAATATTTCTTTATAATGAATATATTAGGATAATCTAATGATAATTTGGTCTCTCTGCTGGCAAGATTTCAGTTGGAAATTACGCTATTTGATTTTACATGACCTACTATGCACAAAGTTATTAACCAATAAAATGCTCATACGTCAGGAACAAAAGGGCAGACACCTAAACCCTTTTGTACTTTTATTGGTATCATTGAGACCTACACATGGGTAAAATATCACGTTACCAGCAAAGCTAAAATGCTTTGCAAGCTTTACGTTCGCAATACATTACATTAGTCATGTTTATTTTACTGAAATATCGTTCTAAGAATTAAGCAGTTGGTTTATAGATACATGCTTCACACTACTATTTAGTCAACTTGTATTCAGAAAAATCTCTTATGAAGTGAGTACATTTCCTATCGTGATGATTGAGAATCGCTGTATACTCAGTTATGCGTTCGACTAAATTATCTCTTCCATGAAACGCACATTCTTCGTCTTCATGCTTATGGATTACAATGACACATTTTAAGTACATAGAACTACTACACAATGCAAAGACAAAATTAATTTTTAAGGGAAACTTCCTCAAATTTTTTTTTCCAGCATTTAGTCTTGATGAAATTTCCAATGGAGTTGTATCTCCATGGCACCATCTCAATGTAAAAACGTCACTTTGACATCTTGAGTCTAAGAAGAGTTGGCTTAAGATTATGGGTTCAAATTTAGATTTCTTTCCATCCTAAATTTCTCCGGAATTTCAAATGCTAGAAAGTTTTGGTTCTTTTTAAAATGCAACTAACAATGGAAAGCCGCCAACTGCTGGTTAAGGAGATTAACCATATTCGGGTCAAATGAAAGCTCTCACCGCTAAACTATCCAATTTAAAATATTACGTGCCTATAGCGTGCGTAGAGTGAAATATTTAAATTTCAAGGTGTATAAAAACAGAGGACTTTATAAGCCATAGATTGGACTATAGGATTTTTTTCATCGAAATCTTTATCATCTTATTCCCAATGAAAGATCTCGTTGAGATAATCATCTGTTGTGCCTAAACATGCTATTATTCTACTTAAGAATCAAAAGTTTGGTGAGGATTAGTAGTTGGTGTTTTTGGGCTTACTTTCTTTACATGGCTAATGTTAAATAGCGCTTCTATTCACAAATAGCGAACAAGAAAAAATTAATGTTTCACTGCAATTAGTACATCCCATTGTCCTATGAGCATTGATATAAATAAAAAGATTTTTCTTTTCGTATATGGACATGAATATTAGTGAAAGTAAGGTTATATAGTACATATATTAAGGATTTTCAACCATCCGAACATCAACCCACACTGACGTCGCAAAACTAAAGCAAAAGAAACTTTATATTTATATCAATGCTGATAGGATAATGAGATGTACTACGCATGCAAAAAAGTTACCGAAAAATCGGATTGTAATCCGATTTCTTGATTTTTAATAAATTTTAATAAATTATTCGACTGTTAATCGATTTTAATTGCTGTGACTAAAAAACACGTTTTTCTCCAGTTTTCACTTAGAAACTTGAATTTTTTATTATTTTTTCAGATTCCTTGCGTCGACAAATGGTAAGTGTAGTACTAGCCCTATCCTTGACACATTCCTATACACGATATCGATTTACACTCACTCGTGTAAGCTACAATGCCAATATCTTAGATTAAAATCGATTAAAAATCGAATAATAGGTTAAAATTTGTTAAAAATCAAGAGTTCGGGTTCAAATCTGATTAAAACCATGCCATGTTAATCGATTAAAATCTGATTTTTTCGGTCACTTTTTTACATGGGTAATTGTAGTAAAACATTAATTTTTTCTCGTTCGCTTTTTGTGAATACAAGCACTATTTGACATTAGTCATGCAAGGAAAATAAGCCCAAAAACACCAAATATTGACCCTCACCAAACTTTTGATTCTTAAGTAGAATAAAAGCATGTTTCGTCACAACAGATGATTATCTCAACGAGATCTTTCATTGGGAATAAGATGATAAAGATTTCGATGAAAAAAATCCTATAGTCCAATCTATGGCTTATAAAGTCCTCTGTTTTTATACACCTTGAAATTTAAATATTTCACTCTATGCACGCTATAGGCACGTAATATTTTAAATTTGATAGTTTAGCGGTGAGAGCTTTCATTTGACCCGAATATGGTCTATTTCCTTAACTACTAGTTGGCGACCCTCTATTGTAAGGCGGCGCAATACAACTTATCAAGATCCAATTTTACAATTTTTTTGTAGCTTGTGTTTCCGGAAATGTCTCTTATAAAATTCGAAAAACCCAGGGAATGCAGACCCAGGAAGGTTAGTTTTTCATTAAATATTAAAAGGAAAATAAAAAACCCAGCTCCGTGAAAATGTACAGCTGATTTTTGCCTTAATTTTGGGACTGAGTCAGGCTTTCGAGTATTTAAAATGGCGGAGAAGTTTGGAATGCACCGAAACGTCAAAATCAAAAAATCGTATTGTGAAAAAAACCTAAAACAAGCTCTAACGCTGAAAATCAAGACTTTCCTCCATAAACTGATATGCAAAGACTCTTCGAGTAATTTGCCATAGATCAACGATTAGAAAGAATCAAACGAACGCATAGGAAGATGTACAAGATAATTTTTCCGTTTTCATATGAACATATTACGCCCAGGCATGCAATGGTGACGGTGAATCACCGACTCAAACCAGTAACAGTACCACCAGTAACCGGTACTTACCGATATAAGTTGGTATGAAACTAATACCGGCTTATACGGCCAGTATAAGATCTATACTGTTTTATACCGGTCTAGCGTATACTCGATTTTTCGAGATTTTTAATTTCATTTTATCTTGTCCGAGACAGCTTCTTTTTGGAAAATAACCATTTTTCATAAACTATGATCAACGAAAATCGGTCCTGAAGAATCTAAATCTTTACCAGGTCTCTGAAATTTCGAGTCTGAGTTTTGTTTTCAGAAAAAAAAAATTAGCAAAAATATTGATTTTGTTACAAAACAAATCAAATTTAAACTTTTGAACAGCTAATCACAGATTCCGACTCTTCGACTGCGATTACCTTTGGTCGGGCTTCATGAAAAATCGTTATTTTCGCAAAATACTTTTCCTTGATGAGAGAAATGAAATTAGAAATCTTGAAAACCGAGTACACGCTAAACCGGTATAGACCTGTGTCAAGTGGCATAGACTGGTATAGGCCGGTATAAGCTAGTATAAACAGGCATAAGGTGGGATAAACCAGTTACCGGTGAGGACCGGCTACCTGCAGACTGAGTCTTGGTTAAGCCCAGTTATCAATAGGTCGGGCCTCGCGAAGCAGTGATCACCCGTCAAGCAGGTCCCAATAAGAAACAGTAACCCTCCCTCCCCGCTGTCCCATAAAAAGACGCCCGGGTTTTCTATTAAGTTGTAGCATGTGAGCTTCCCCGAGGGATCTTCAGTTATAATGCGCATCGTTCTATACTTTCGGATTAATAAATTTTCTAAAAGATCTTCCTGGGTTTGAAGAATTCTCTAGCGTTTTCTAGGGGTTTTCCAAGGCTATTCAGAGGTTTAGACCTTGGTCTACTAGAATAGCCCCTGAAAAATAGACAGTTTTAACTGACAAATATTAATATTGGACTTCATAATTTCTAATTACTAATTAAAACTAGGGAGATCTTCGACTACGTTGGACATATATCCTCAAGAAGGTGTTCTAATATGTGAGGTCTTCTATTATAGGAAAGGTTTACTGGTAGAATAGTTATCGATTGTATTGGCTATCGTCACCGTTGCATACCTAATTACGTTCACTGAGATATCAACAAAAACCATGTGCTTAAAAAAAACTATGAATTTGT